AATTGGAAGGCAAAAATAGAGGATGAACTTTTGTATAATAAGACACTCGTGTATGCTACTCTCATACTACAACCTTGTAAGTAACCTCTTCTTTTGCCTTACCAGACAAAAGTTCATCCTTTGTTTTTGCTCCCCACTTAAGTTCATCCCCTCTCCTACAAAGTAAAACCACCATCCAACCATAGCTTGATATTCTGATTCAAAGCATAAGATTCTAAAACATCTCCATGAAGATGTGTGTCCATTTCCTTCCAAAACAACACATTCTCTCTGCTGCTGCCTCATTGGATTCAAGTACTTTGAGGAACATAAGCTTTACTTCCATGTACCTTCATTTGTGTTCCCGAAATCTATGAGACCTCGCCCAATATACTACAAAGTAGGCTTGATTTTCCTAAGCCAACTGACCCACAAACTGCAACCTTATAACCTTTTGGTATCGACATCTTCTCTACAACTTTTGTCGTTGGTTTCTTAACATGTAGATCATTTGCTTCAAAAGAATAATCACCCGCCTCAATTTCAATCTTGATGTCAGATCCACCGGAGGACGATAATTGATCTGCTTCCTTTGATCTTTTCTAAAATGAACTTTTGTCCAGTAAGACTGTGATATATGCTACCCATCATTTGAATTCATAGAAGCTGCGGACCTCATTCTGGTAAGTAATTCAACTTCTTGTTGTTTTTCTTGGGGTATCACAAAGCAATAACCCCTTCTGCCTTGTAATACATACGACTGCTTTTGCTTGTGGGTGATGAAAAATGGTCATATTTTTCAATCAGGAAAGTATGCAAAATTGATATCAAATTCAAACGGTGAACTTGAGCGGCGAAGTTATAGAATTCCTAAGCCAAAAATAGAACTTGAACGCTAATCAGTTTAGAATTCTCAATAGAAGAAGTTATATGACTCAAATACATGCCTACATTAATGCATTAGAACTTATATTTCAAGTCACGTTATTAATTTGTTAAAAAAGAAATAATAATGTAGGGATGATCAAAATAAAATAAAATAGAAATTAAAGTGAGATTTTTATTTTTATTTTTTCAAATTGTACCTTAATATTAAAAAATATATCTTTAAGCCAGTGAGAATTCCAATCAAATTGGTGTTGCTTTTGGAAATTCAAACTGAAATAAATAATAATCTACCAACACGAAGCTTCATGGATTTGACTTCTTTGAGGATAATTATCCTTTATTAAATAAGAAACTTCTTCCTTTTCTACTTTCTTAGGTGATAACATTCGAATATATAAAAATTAATAATAAAAAATAGAGTAAAAAAAGGCGTTATTTACTTATTTCATAGAATTTTACACATTTATCTCGACATTAAACTAAATAATTTTAAGCAGAATGAGAAGAAGAAGAAGAAGAAGAGGAGAAAAATAAAAACACTCCCGTGAAACTGGAAGCACGTGGGTCAGATTTTTTACCAATTTCCAAATTTATAGTATTTTTACCTTTTTTACTTTGGGTAAATGTTTGATTACGAAATACATTCGCATTCTCTTTGTTTTTTTTTTCTTTTTTTAATTCCTCAAACAAACATTTTCCTGTTATTTTTTCTTTTTCAAATTTTCTTCCAAATCTTTCTAAACTAATTTGGGGTATGAGGCCATGGTTGGAAACTAAATATGTAGAAATTAATGGTGGATTTAAAACTTGATTACTTTTAATGAATAGATATAGATATTAACATATTCTATTATTTCCACTCCCCATTAACTTATAAAACCTAACCAATCCATGTATTCAGTTCAACAAATTCTAACATAATTCTTTTAAAAAAATTTCTTTTAATGAATAGATATAGATATATTTTGCAAATAAATTTCTAATTTTACATTATTTAAAATAAATAAATAAAAAGTCCTTCAATTTTATCCTTAAAAGCCCTCAATATTTCACTGTTATTTTATGGCTAATTATGTTTAATTTTTAATTTAGTTTCTATGATCGGATAGTTTGTGATGTAAAACTAAATTATGCCAACCAATTTAAACTTTAAAAATTATAAAATCCAAATCTATAATTTAACTATGTGAGAGGATTCTTAGTAAAAGCAAAATATAATAATAATAACTGAATAAATAAAATAAAAGCATGCTAAACAATTTTAGGTATGAGATAGACGACTTTCCCTGGTGCATTTAAAAAATAATAATAATAATAAATTATTTCTTCTCCAATTTGATTTTAAAAGGTAACTAATTCGTACTAAAAAAGAAAAGAAAAGAAATGTAACTAATCAAATCTTTTGTTTTTTTCTTCTATTACATGTAACTAATCAAATCATAATTAAGAAATAATTACCAATTATATATAAGTAGTAAATTGAACAAAAATATGATTATGATAATTGAGAACCCATCAAAACAATAAAATATATTCTACATCCAATAATTGTCCTTGAAACATAATCTTCAAACGTTTTTCCCACCAATGATGAGCATTTGTTATGTGTTTTTTTTTCTCTGTATATGTTAAGAGTTTTTTTTCTCTCTCTCTGTCTCTTCTTTGATTTGAAACAAGATTTTCAAACTTTGTCATTAATTTTACACAAATTTATTGAGTTTCTCGTGCTTTTAACATGATTTAAATCTTTGACGTTGTTCATATTGAACTTTCTTTTGGATGAATAAATGTTTTCCTAAAAACCAACCATCCGACCAGTTAAACAGTCGGACCGCACCAACCAAATAATTCAATCTGGAAAAAAAGACATCCACAGACACGGAAGCTCGTGGAAAGAGTTTCCTTCGACAGATGATGGGCAACACTATTGGACTCTCTGCACATATGATTGAAAGAAAAAGTTTCAAAAGACTTTGAGATCAAATGAATATCTTTGATCCAAAGAGTCTCGTCATCCTGTCACTCCTTGAAGATGTTTATCGCTTCCAAGGAGTCCAACTCAACTAAGACTTTTAGAAGCCCTAGTCTCAATGCTAATCAAACGTCTTCCGAAATCGCATGGATTTCCAACAACAACGGACATGTTCATGTTGGACTTATAATAATGTCACATAGGATAAAATCTCGATAACGTGTGATCGCTTACATAGGAATAAATATAAACAATAATTGAATTTGCTGTAACAACTCACAATCTTATCAGACTTCAGCAACTCGTATTTTGAAATTATAATTAATTAAATGCAAAATGATTCCCACCGGCAACCAATAGTGTAGAGGCATTTGGGCTTGGACAAGCATAGATAGGTTCCATTTTATGATATACTTCTTCTCTTTATATTCCGCAACAACTTAGAAAACAAATCATTTTTTCGGAATTTTTTTAATATTATTAATTTTTAACTTATTTTCAAAATAATATATATCTCAAACTTAGTCTAAGAATAATGCTTGAGAAATTATTTCCACAATGGGTATGCAACCACGTTTCTTTTTTTATTTTTAACACAAAAAGCACCTACGATTGCTTATAAATATGACATCTACCAATTTAAAACAACATATTTATTTATCTTGGTACGGTGGCTATGCTTCCATCCCACAAGATCTACATCAGTATATTTTCTCTATTGAAATATTGTAGGTTATCTCTAAGAGATGGCCCGGCAACAGAGATAAGTTTCCAAACATTACTTTTAAGAATAAATTTGAGAGGTATGTTATTTTAAAAATAAATTAGAAAATTAGTAACATTAAAAAAATCACAATCACATTTGTTCAAGCTTAGTATATTAATAGACCAAATAAAAATTTCTCAGTTTTGTAAAAAATAATAACTTTCTAGTATTATAACGAAATAGTAAATTTGTAATTAAAAGAATATGAAAATTTATACGGGTAGCATGATTTTATAAAATATTTAGAAATATGCATATTTATAAAGGTAATTGCAAATATAATCTTCTTTTTTTTTAATAATTTGCAAACATATTAATAACTCTGAGAACATAATTATCATCTGTAATTACTAATACCCATATCAATTGACTAACGATAATGATTAATTATAATCGTTGTTATACTCTGATTTACTGTAATCAAATCACTAATATGCTTGTGTTCTATTTTTTCTTATATTTGTAAATAATTTTTTTTATGAATTTGTAATGGATTTCAATTTTGCAAATATGACAAAATATTTGAAATAAGATTTGATTTTTTAGTTATTTCAATTTTAACATTTCAAATTTTTTTATATATCAATGGTATGTCAAATCTAGTATATCAATAATATATCCGATCAAGTATTTATATCATGTATATAATTATGTATCGACACTCATAATAATATATATCAATGTTATTGATTTCTTAAAAGTAACAAATCATGTATATTAGTGATATATCAATATTCATATCATGTATAAAAGATATACATTTCATTTAAAATCTGTAAATAACACAACACAATTCAACTAGAGAAACTTAATATAGTAAATTAAAGAAAAAATAAGTATAATATCAAATATTTCATTGGGTATATCAACATTCAAAATCAAGTACTTGTTGGTATGTCAGCACCCATGGTCATGTATATCAATGGATCAAATCAAGTATACCTATCAGAATATAATTGGTTTATCAAGTATATCATTGTTTGGGTTGCGTGTTCATTAACGATATGGTGGACTTTTACTTTATTCTACGTGAGTTTGGACGTCTAGATTTTGCTATTTTTCAAGCTTGAAAAGTATAGGTAGCCGAGTATATCATTAGTATATCGGGTATATTATTTTTAGGTTTTTTTGTTTTTTTGTTTTTTTAATTTTTTTTTACTAAAAGACGCTTTTTGGTTAAATTAAATATAGTTAATAGAAATTCAGCGCAGCGCAATTTTGGAAAAAAGGGAGCCGGATCTCGGCCCCATTCCTACCGTTAAGGCGTTAACTATAGATAACGGCGCAAATTTTAAAAAATGTTACCGTTGGTTTTTGGATGGATTCGAACAGGGAAATAGCCGTTGCGTCTCCACTCAATGTTCTCTAGAACGGTCCATCTTTTTCCATAGCATTTAGTCGCGTCCGCAAGTCGAAGTTCTCAATTAAATTTTCTCTGATCCACTCGTTTTTCTCTTCTTCGATTAGAATACTTGAATCATCAACTCCGATTTCCCTTTCTGATTTGTTTCCCCTGTGCATCCATTAAACCCTAAATCTGTTCCTCGTTTTGAATTCAAGAAGTAAGGAAGATTTGATATGGCTTCAAAAACAGAGACCAAAGACATCATCACTCTTCGCGGTTCTGCGGCGATTGTCAGCGAGTTCTTCGGTATATGCTTCTGAAAACCCTTCTGATCTTAATTTTCTCTTTAATTCGGTTGATTATCCAAGAATAACCTTGGCTGATTTCTTCTTCTTCCATCTTTTCTTGAATTTTTTCTCATCCAGGATACGCTGCGAATAGGTATGAATATGGGATACGTTTCCTCTGTTCTTATTTTCATTTTCTGATCATGTAAATGTTCATTGATCGCAATTTTAACTGTGTAGCATCCTCTACAACCGTGGACTTTATCCGGAAGAAAGTTTTGTAAGGGTTAAGAAATATGGGCTTCCAATGTTGCTTACTCAAGACGAAGGTGTTAAATCCTTCATCACTAATCTAACTGCTCAGCTTTCTGGTAAATTCGCTTTCTCCAAATCAAAGATATGCATTGTGTAGTATGATTTATATTTATTGAGAAGTTTTTGAATCATGAAATTGGTTATAGAATGGCTTGAAGCTGGGAAGCTACAAAGGGTTGTGCTCGTCATATTGAGCAAAGCAAATAATGAGGTTCTTGAGAGGTGGAACTTCAGTATTGAAACTGATGGCGAAGTTGTCGAACAAGGGTATTAAATTCAACCAGAAACTTCTATTCCCTTTCATGTCTGAACTTCTTATCCTGATTACATGATCTGGCTGCAGCGTGTCGAGGGAAAAGAGTGATAAAGAAATTATGAGAGAGATTCAAGCAATTATGAGACAGATTGCTTCAAGCATCACTTATTTGCCCTGCCTTGATGAACCCTGTAAGTGTTTGCAACACTAACCATTATGAAATCGTTAGTTTATAATGATATTTAAGTCAATTTGAATGGTTTTGTCTGCTGTTTTTGTGGTTTCCAGGTGTATTTGATGTGTTAGCGTATACTGATAAGGATCTTGCAGTTCCATTTACTTGGATTGAGAGTGACCCCAAACTGATTGCCAATCCACAAATGGTGAAGCTGCATTCTTTTGATACCAAGGTATAATCAAACTTATTTGTTCAGTTCATTTTTGGATCCACTGCTTTTGTTGTTTATATATGGTGGTGTTGTGTTACTGCAGATTCACAGAGTGGACACACTTGTTTCTTACAAGAATGATGATGATGACTAAAAGCACTCCTATCGCTTTTGAGGACATTGTGAATCTTTTATTCACATTTTGTATTGCAATGTAATGATTCAATTAGAATTTCACCCGAATGATTTGTTTGTTTGTTTGTTGTTCGGGTGGAACTTTGAGCAAAATGTGACTTTTTCTCTATAAAAAAACCTACTTTTTCGTTATAAGAACAAGGGTGACGACCGACCTGACCGAGTCTGCCAAGTAATTTCCTTGGCCAAAAATATACCCAAATTACTCGGTCAAAACAGAGAGAGAATCAATTCTAAATAACGAGCATCCATAATTAGAAACTTCCAAGTAAATTTGTCTTGAAAAATCCAAATTTTTATGATAGCTTGTTGAGAAAGAAGAAAAAGAAAGAAGAAAGAATATGGGTTTAGATGATGATGGTGGTCTGTCTTGGGCAGATCAATGGGATTACAACAATGACCCGCCACCATCGTCGTCGGAAAATGACAAGAAGAAGAACAAGAGCGGCGGGTCCTCCGGCAAGAGCAAATTTGGGAAGACAATCTTGAGCTTGAAGTGGATGAAAGAATTGCGAAAGAAATCTGACAACAAATCTTGAAATCAGAATTCAGAAACCAACAATGTGAAAAGTGGGCTGAAGAATGAATCAACCAACCACCATTTGATTAATCTCTCCCATTTTAATACTTGTATTTTCTCCTCATCCTGTTGAGCTCTGAAGCCCAGAAAGCAGTATGATAGTTTCGGTTTTACCAAATTCGGCATCCAATGAAATCATATGTAATAACATTATAGATTATGCTTTTTACAACCTATCTGTATTGTACTCTTCCCGAATATAACCATGGAAGTTTCTTATATTTCATCCAGAAAGAATCAAGTTTTGATGTTCATATGTTCATTGGGCAAAAGAATGAATTCTTTTGGCATATAACCATAATTGAATTAGAAAAGAAAAAGAAAAAAAGAGCTCAGATATCATAATGCCATAATCATTAATACCAAGAAAATATCTAACATCATTGATGTCAAGTCAAATCATTATTAGTTTGGTGAATTGAGACCCCGCGAAACAAAGTTAAATAAATGTCTAAAAACTTGTCCAAACCACTGCCTGCTATATTCAAGGCATCAATTAACTACTTCAACACACGAAACAAAGTCATATAAATATCTAAGAAATTGCTGTAAATTGGAAAACCAAACAAGAACGAGGAATTCTGAAGAAAATTCAAGGAATCAAACTTTATTTGGAATATTTGACGTCATTTATTTCATTATTGAAACTTCCCAGCAACATGACAACAGAGTTTCCCACATATTAAAAGTAAAGTACAAATACGACGATGTCTAAAAGTTCTAACAGCAGTAAGTTCCTAGAAATTAAAGGGAAAAAAAAAAGGACTAGACAAGCACATAGATTGACGGTGCAGCATACATGACCTGCGAGACGCAATAGTAACATACTGAAGAACCACAATAATGGCCAGAAACAGAACGAAATGAATAAAAGACGACCAAGTCACATAAAGAGGCACCTTCCTTCCAGAGTTCATCAATAGTTAAACATTCTGATCAGCGGAAACCGTCTGCACCATGCAACTTCCCAATAGCTAGACGAAGAAAAATGGAAGGCCAACGAGATGATTGAATCTGAGACACCAGTTCCTAAAACCATTGATCATCAACGAACGATCTATAGTTATTTCCAGAACCATGGCACCCATTCACACCACTTCGAGTTCTTGGAATTAGTTTTTCTTTTTTTTTTCTTTTTCTTCTTTTTTTTTGGTTTTTCTCCTTCCACGTCCTTCAAAAGTATAAAAATTCAACATTTGGATTGACGATGCAAGTCAATACTCGGATCATTGGCTGTCTCTGGATTTCTTGCGAGAACAAATCTAAACTTTTAACTTGTATGCACATATCAAATTTAACCATAAATCGAGAAGCTGCAACTCTCTTCAGCAAGGATGAAAGAACACGGCTCGCTCCCCTCTCATTCACATATCGTTCTCTGCTTCCCACAATCAGCACAACGCAACTCCAGAGAAAATATCTCCTGATGTACATAGCCCTCTAGGCATCGTCCACACTGATCACACCTAGCTATACAAAGTGTGCATGCCCTGCATCTCTGGGTGTTGGTGTTCGTGCCTGTGTCAGTGTCGGTGACCCCTTCTTTTCCCTTGCAGCCAACCACCGGGCAGTCATAAACGAGCCTCATATTCCTGCATTTTGGGCATTCTTCTAGGTCAATGGTACGCCCATCAAAGCACGATGGAAAATAATCTCCACCTCGATAGAACCGAGGCTCCTGGGTATTTAGCTTAGTCAAGTTGTCAGTACCCAATAACAGCTTCTTCAACTTTGTAAAATGCTCATTTGTTACTCCATAAATTCCAGCTATGCTTAAATGTTTTACTCCCCGTGTACCTATTGACTTGAAGGCAGTCAAAGTATTAATAATGCCTTCAATGCTGAGTTTCGTGCATCCTGGAACACATAACTGCAGGAAAAAAGTAAAGTTAGAAACAAACGAGAATCTGACATTAATTCTTTCTAAAAAAAAGAAAGCTAGTACAATATGCCACATTCATAGCAAGAACTATGCTTGCACTTTGAAAAACTTGTATCCTTACCTTTGTGACCTTAGGATTATTAAGAAGCACCTCCATGAGACCATCATCAGTAATCCCTGTGCACTGTACAAGGCTCAGACATTCCAGACCACCTTGAGCCTTACTAGTTAATTGTAAGAGAACGTCATCAGTAAATTGTGCAAGCTTACGCCCATTTATGTGAATGTTTCTCCAAAAGAAAGGGTCCCCTTCGGCAGTCAACCGCAGGGACTTGCAAACCCTTTCAACAGCAATAAGATCCCGTGTGCCCAGATAACCAAGCACGAAACTTAAAGCGGCATGAGGAGGTTCGCCTACATCAGAAGAGACACAATTACCCTCTTTAAGATCTTCCGGTTGCACTCTAGAAGTCTCAGGTTCCATACCAAGGGTCTGAATTGTATCCACAACATATGGTGGTTCAGGATCAGTGTGGCATGATACATCACCTGCTGTTCTCCCATCAGACCACACATCAAATCCATCCAGCTCATAAGAATTATAAAAAATTCCTTTATTTTCAAATGGGTACGCCTGGAACCTAATTGCATTGTTCCAAATAAAGTTCAATCCAGCAAAAAATTGATAATTTCCATCAACTGGGCCTCCCTCGTCTCTTTCATATCCTCCACCGTAGTCAACTTTCAGATCGTCAAGCCAGCCAGTGATTGCAGTAACGGTGGTACTTATATCCATACCAAAGGGATCTGGCGGCAAGAGATCCAGAATATCACTCGAGACACAATCTGGCGAGCCACCCCCTTCGCAGGTGTCCTCTCTAAAATCAAGGCAATCCTCGACCTCCTGGTTAATATGCCAGGGCATCCCATAAACATCAGAATTCCTCTCGGGAACACCATCGACAAGAAAACCACTTGAAATCCGCATCGGAGAAACCAAATTGTCCTCCGAAAGATGCGCT